GGCCAGGCACAGTGGTTCACACCTGTAATCCCAGCACTTTGGGAGGCCGAGACAGGTGGATCACTTGAGGTCAGGAGTTCAAGACCAGCCTGGCCAACATGTCAAAGCCCTGCACAAAAATTAGCTGAGGGTGGCGGCACGCGCCTGTAATCCCAGCTACCCGGGAGGCTGAGGCGGGAGAATCACTTGAATCTGGGAAGTGGAGGTTGCAGTGAACTGAGATCGTGCCACTGCACTCCAGCCTGGGGGACAGAGTGAGACTCCATCTCAAAAAAAAGACAGACCTGACAAGACAAAAGCCGCAGTGTTTATTGTGCCCCTAGAACCTCCAGGATCTGTCCCCAGCTCCTCTCTGATGCCCTCCTCCTGCTCCCCCTCAGTCCCTCCATCCAGCCCCCATCCCTGCTTCTCCTGAGCTCCTCCGAAGGCCCTCTGCACAGGCGGCTGTTCAGCCAGGCCGCTCCTCGCTGGGACCTCCCGAGGGTCCTCCATCATCCCCTTCAAGTCCCTGCACCCAGGTCACCTTCACATGAGGCTTCTCTTCCCGGCCCTGCCCCGTCCCTGCTTCACTCTCAGCACAGCTCTTCCGGCAGCTGTCCTCTGATACACCATGCGTTTCTCTTGTCCATCTCTCCACACTGCTCGTTTGCAAGAAGCACGATTCCATGCCAGGTCTCTCCGACTGGCTCTCAACCACCACACATTAGGGCTCCAGGTGGCTGTGCCCCCAGCAGAGAAGCGTGCCCACCCACACGGACACCCACGCTGCCCCAGCTCCTGGGCTCAGGCACAGAGGAAGGTGTCAGCCCTGCGCCAAGGTTTCCCCACCTGCTCCCCCCAAATCCTCAGGCACTGGCTGTCTCCAGCTGGAGCCGGGTACTCCCGGCAGCCTGCCCCCGGCTGGCGGGCGCCAGCTCCTGGCAGAGGGGCCGCTGTGTAATTAGAAACTCCACAAACTCCCTAATTGCCAGTTCTGCTCCCCAACCGGGAGGCTGGCGCTATTCTGAGCTGCCCTGGTTGCCGCTGCCCAAGGCAAAGAGAGAAGAGGCCAGGGGCAGAAGCAGGCTGGCGTGGAGTCCCTGGGGAGGGCCGGTGAGGTCAGAGGGGACCACGAGTTAGAGAACGCCTGGTGAGCGGCCAGAGGCCCAACGTGGCACGGAGCCGTCTGCTGCCCCTGCTGGGCCCAGCATCCCTCAGCACAGCCCACCCTGCGGCTGCCTCCCCGCCTTCCCCGCCTGTCCCACCCATGCCCAGAACGGTGACATCAAACCAGCCAGGCCCATGCATTCTTTATTCAGGTGGCATAAAAATCACTACAAAAACCTTACAAAAGAGCCTCAAGGAGCCCACGGGGCCTTTCCTGCCTTGGTCCCTGAGCTCCTGGGCAGAGGAGGGAGACAGGAGAGGAAGGATGGGAATCCCAGCAGTGCTGGCATCTCGAGGGCCAGCGGGAAGCCTGGGGCCACAGGCGTGGGTGGGGTGGAGGCCGAGGAGCGCTGGGCAGGTTAGGCTGTGCGAGACCCACGCTCCACACGGAGCGAGCCACCCCCAGGGCCTGTCGCTCCTCGCCCTGTCCTGGGAGGACAAGCCCAGAGGCAGCCCTCTCCCCTCCCTTTCTCTCTGGTAAACAAAAGTAGGGTGTCCCAGCTGACCTGGGGGGCAGCTCACCTGTCTCCTGGGAGATCCAGAAGCACACCTCCCTCCCTCCCACCCAGACCCCAGTGCAGGACACCTCTGGGCTCCCTCTCATCCTCCAATGCCTGCCCTCCTCCCGGCTCCCAGCCCAAGCTCCCCAAGAGGTGTCAGGAAAGAATGGCCTCTCTCAGACTGTCCCCCTGGGCCCCCCAGCCCCTGCCCCAGTGCCACAAAGCAGGTCGAAAAAGGCACATGAGTGGAGAGGCCGGTCCAGGCCGGGACACTGGACGCAGCGGCCACGGCCCCTCACTTGGGGTTGTGAAGCTGGGGGTAATCCTCCTCAAAGCGGGGCGCAAGTTTCAAGTCAGGGCCGAAGAACTTGTCCCGGTCTGGTCGGGAGTCCTTGCTGGCCGGGGAATCCTGCTGCTCCCTGGGCTCCCGCGGCGCACTGGGGTTGGGGTTCCTCACGCTGCCCACGAAGAGGGGAAGGCCCATGGTGTCCTCGAAGATGAAGAAGAGGAAGGGGCGGTTCACGCTGAAGGAGGACACGGACATGCGGGACATGGCGATGCTGGTGGCCGCGGCCGCCTCCACGCCGACCTCGCCGAGCTCCAGCGTGGACTGGTGCTGCACACTGGACACCACCAGGCTCTGGTCGGAGATCCCACGCAGGTCCGGGGCCTGGAACAGATCCTGCAGGCCTGCCCAGGGCCAGAGACGGCTGGTCAGAGCTGCCCTCGGTTCTCAGGCTCCTGGAGCTGCTTGGGAGGGTGTCTGACATCCTGGCCAGCAAACCTTGAACTCACAGATCCCGGCTTAATTCCTGGGTAATTTCCACGTCTCAGCTTCAACACCACTTCCTCTGGGAAGCCTTCCCTGATCTCCAGCTCCAAAGTCCAAGCTAGGTACGTTTTCCGTGTCCTCCCAGGTGAACTGAGAGAAGCCCTTGCTGTCTTATCATTTATGCTGCTGTAAGTACCTGATTATTCGTCCACCCACCCCATTAGGCTGAGCTGTGTGTACTGGTGGGGTCCCAGTGCCTGCTACAGTGCCTGGGATACAGCAGTTGCCTAGCAAACGGCTGAAGGATAGATGCTTTATTTATTTGTTTATTTCTTTATTTATTTATTTTGAGACTGTCGCACAGGCTGGAGTGCAGTGGCCTGATCTTGGCTCACGGCAAACTCCACCTCCCAGGTTCAAGCCATTCTCCTGCCTCAGCCTCCCAAGTAGCTGAGACTACAGGCGCCCACCACCACGCCCAGCTAATTTTTGTATTTTTTATTTTTTTATTTTTTTTTAGTAGAAACAGGGTTTCACTATGTTGGCCAGGCTGGTTTTGAACTCCTGACCTCCTTGAACTCCTGATCCACCCATCTTGGCCTCCCAAAGTGCTGGGATTACAGATTTGAGCCACTGCGCCCAGCCTAATGCTTATTTATTTATTTTAGTTATTATTTTATTTTATTTTATTTTTTTGAGACGGGGTCTCTATCACCCAGGCTGGAGTGCAGTGGCGCAATCACGGCTCACTGCAGCCTCAACCACCTGGGCGTAAAAGGTCCTCCCACCTCTGTCTCCAGAGTAGCTTAGACCACAGGTATGCACCACGCCTGGCTGATTTTGGTATTTTTTGTAGAGATGGGGTTTCGCCATGTTGCACAGGCTGTCTCGGACTCCTGGGCTCAGGCAATCCACCTGCCTCAGCTTCCCAAAGTGCTGGGATTACAGGTGTGAGCCACCACACCCAGCATTTCTTTAACAGCATGACACCCCAGCTTCTCCTCCCTCCCCATCCAGGAGAGCCGGGGAGGCTCGCATGCCACCCAGGCGCTACCCAGACTCCCCTTGCAATGCTAGGTCTTGGGCAGAAAGGCAGATCCCCATTCACGGGGTCACCCAACATGCCCTAGAGGCCGGGTGTTCATATTCAACCCTCTCCCCCTCCCGAAGCCCTGGAAAAGAGCAGGACACAGGCCGGCTCTGACCCAGCCCTACTGCCAGCCACAGGCTTCCTCCTCGCCCGCCCTGCCCAGCCTGACCTCGGCAGCCGGCCCACCGCCTCCTTACCCAGCTGGCTGAGGGTGGCCACCAGGTCCATTTGGTGTTTCAGATACAGCTTAGGCAGCCAGACCTTGGTGGGCCTCTCCCACACCGAGGGTTGGTGCAGGGTGTCCCAACTCAGGTTGGCCAGTACCTGGGACACGTTCCAGTCAAAGTGGGTGGGGATGAGGACCACAAAGCTCATGTTGTTCTTAAAGGGGAAATGAGCCACCTGCAGATGAGGAAGGGAAGAGCCTGAGGACCAGAAAGCACGGAGCTGGGCGAGGGCGGGCGGGCAGGTGCTCCCATGCCAGGCAGATGCTGGGGCTGCTGGTCACCCTGCCGGCCCATGCCTGGACCACACTCCACTTCCTCTGTGAGATGGAGTCACACCACCCGTCCACTGCAGGTGGACATGGAATCGAAGGAGATGCTTTTAAGGTTTCTAGCAGTGTGGCCAGGAGGTGGCTCACACTTGTAATCCCAGCACTCTGGGAGGCTGAGGCGAGTGGATCACCTAGGTTAGAAGTTCGAGACCAGGCCGGGCGCGGTGGCTCACGCCTATAATCCTAGCACTTTAGGAGGTTGAAGCGGGCGGATTACCTGAGGTCAGGAGTTCAAGACCAGCCTGGCCAATATGGTGAACCCCCGTCTCTACTAAAAATACAAAAAAAAACCTAGCCCAGCATGATGGCGAGAACCTGTAATCCCAAACACTCAGGAGGCAGAGGCAGGAGCGTCACTTCAACCTAGGAAGCAGAGGTTGAAGTGAGCCAAGATCGCACCACCGCACTCTAGCCTGGGCGACAGAGCGAGATTCCGTCTCAAAAAAAAAAAAAAGGCCGGGCGCGGTGGCTCAAG